TTCGACTATGCGTAATGTTGGCTTTACGCATGTGTGTGTTGAAAGAAATGTTCTATAAAGTAAACAAATAAATATTAAGCTGTTTTTTTTTTCGTAAATTTTGATACCCTTTAGATAATAATTGTGTTTAATCCTAGTATCCGGTGCACAAGGGATTTGGCTACTTTTGGTGACTTTATGATGAGCAATAAACGGGACATATACGACGAGTAGTTAAACGGGTCATTTTGGTATTGGCAATAATTTTCAAAATCGCTCCAAGGCTGCACCGTATACAAGGATTTTACCAAGAATTGCTCTTTATTTCATAAATTACAGTTTCATATTTTTAATTTTATAATTTCTGCATGCCATCTTACTAGATTTAAATTGATGATCTATAATCCGGAAAAACCAATAATCCGGAATTGCCGAAGTTCCGACGAGACCGGAATAAAGACTTTTGACTGTATAAATATAAATTTTTATATTAATTCTCTTAGAAAGAATGTTTTAAGAAGCTAATTTTCCTCTCGCGTCACAGATTGTATAAAAACATGATCTTTAATATGATTTAGATTGTTTCAGCCGCTATAAGAATCGGGTTACTCAGTGGTACAGAAAAATCACTGCTGGACTGTTTTTTTTCTTTGTCATTTAGCAAAAAATCTTTTAATTAAAATATTTATCCTTTGGAATTCGCTTTAAACTTTATTTATAGTTAAAATGACTAGAAAATGAAAAGCTGTCTTCAGCTGAAACATAATTCATGTAACTGATATTTTAAAAAAATTGACAAGAATGCATTATTTATGGAAGTCTAGCAATCAAAAAATCTTAATTGTTTTGTGCAAGCACTGATTGAGCTTGTGTTAATAGAAAAGACAAAAATGATATCATTGCAAATTAAAGTGAAGAGCGACTGGTTTGAGACTATACGGTTGTATAAATTTAAATTACGTTAGAGAGCATCATATCGTATCATAAACGGAGAATCCCATGATTTCTCAGTCGCTTTATTTGAAGATTCAGGAGTTTATCCAGTGATGTATGGGGATGTCACCTAAAGATGTTTTTTCCCCCGTCTGATGAAACAGCGGCCGAGCGGTAAAGTCCGCTGAACACTGGTAGTTCGGTCCGAGGTTCGAATCCCGCGAACGGGCTGGCTGCATGGGCGTTTTCGTGGTTTTCCCCATGTGTAACGTGTATGCGAGCCAGTTTCCCTTAGAAAGTCCTCCACAAAGGCATCCCTCCCCTTAGGCAGATAGCCCTAGTGTGCTTTGTCATAATTAAATAAACCAAAACCTCTTGATGAAACCAGTCTTTCCTTTCATCTCATACCTTCAAAATGTTTAGCCTCTAAAGACTGATAAAGGCTCTGACCAAATATTGATGAAATGGATTGAATTGGTTTATGAAGTTACGGCAAAGCAGGGCTATCTGCCTAAAAGGGAGGATGCCTTCATGAAGAGCTTTCTAAGGGAAACGAGCTGGCATACACATTACACATGAGAAAATAGAAAATCCACGAAAACGCCCATGCAATCAACCCGTTTACAGGGATTCGAACCCCAGACTGAACTACCAGTGTTCAGTGACTTTACCGCTCAGCCATTTCTGGGCCTTTATGAAATGGTAGGCAATAACTTTATTTAAAATGATTGTCAGAAATATCAAGATATTTTGAAAAGTTGGATGCTTTTTAATATACTTGCAGAATGCCTAAAGAAAAAGAGCAAGAATGAAGCAGAATGCCTGAAGAAAAAATAAATTTTTGCGTAAAATTTAGTATTTTTTTTTTAATTTAAAACTTTTTAATCTTATGATATTTGATTCTTGCGATTTCAAAAATAAAATATTTGACTAAAATATGAATAACATTTTAAGAAACCAAATGTAGGATAAAATTGTGTAAAGCAATGGGCACAATGATAAAACTGTTTAAAGTGTATGCAAGTCATCCTAAGTTAAAATGTCGGTTATACATCTCTCTTATTTATATATATCTTTTCTGAACGGAACATTGAAAGGCGTGTTAACTGTGCTTTACTGTAATTTCTCTTTTAATATATGCAGTTTTCAAACGCATCGTAGTCTGGGTTACAAAGTATTCTTCCGAAAAAAAAATGCAATTCAAATAAATAAAATCAAATTCTGAAAAATTTATATTAATAAATATATTTAAAATGCTCAGTTCGAAGAATAAATAGAAAATTTTAAAATAAATTATCTGAAGAGACAATGCAACACAAACAATTAAAATAAAAGTATAAAAATTTAAAAATTACCTAAAATAATAACTATGACTAAATATATAGCATAAAGAAAAACTATTTGAAAAAAAAAAATAAATAAAACACGATGCACCTTTGATTTAAACTACACAGTTCGAATAGAGTAAATAGAAATTTTTAAAAAACAGTTATTCGAAAAAAAAACCATGCAACTTAAACAATTAAAATGAAATTCGAAAAAGAAAAAAAATTACTTAAAATTATTAACAATTATAATTAAAAATATAATATAAAGAATATTATTTGGAAAAAAGGAACGATGGGTCCTTTTTTTCTCTCGCACACTATGTAAAAATGGAAATGAAAATAGGTTGCCATATATTAAGAAGTTCGCCAAGTGAACTATTTTGGCGCAAACTGACATAAAAAGTGCCAACATAAATTGTTTAATTTCTCCGTAAATTTTGCACCAAATTTTACAAAATTTAATATTTAGGCATAATTTGAGTCGTAGAATCGAAATATAGAAAAAATTTGGTATGTTATTTCAGAAAAAGACCGATTTTGTGTCAAAATAACTATGTTAGAGTAGAGCTATGTATAAATCTAATATCTATCCTAAGTCGCGCTTTCGAGACATAAAGAACGCAATTTGAATTTTGTCAATTGGCCCAGTAGAACGGAAAATATAGAACTGTCCCTTTTTTTTTTTTTTTTTTTTTTTTTTTGTGAGCAGTGTATATTTGATCAAACTGAATGCAGGCACAATTAAAACAAACTTTTCTTAAAACTGTATCAGTACATTTTCTGCTACAGTAATGGATATAATGTAGAAATATTTGAGATTTTTTTCACTTTCTCCAATTTTAAACAAAAACTTACTGATCCTCCCTTTCATAAATTTCATAAGCAAGCTAATAACCAGTTCTTGCATAGTTTAAACATTTTGAAAATTTTTTTGTCTTCTTGGGCAAGTTCTTCAAGAGAAAAGAGGCACAGAAATAAATCATTACCATGAAAAATAGATTAAAAAAGGCCTATATGTTTTTGTAACTGTTACTGTAATAGTCATGAAATATTTTATGCCTTTCTTAAACAGTTTTCTTGCCCTATGAATTTACTGTACTATGATATATTTATTCTAATATCTATATATACACTAGTTATCATTAATTAAGAAAATATCACAAAAATGACGCTTTTTAAAAAAGTGTAGAATTTGAACATGAACACAATACCTCACAAGGATCGCCAACCGTGCGACCTGCTGCAGCGATTCAAATGGGAAGTACAGCAACATCCTCCATATGGTCCCGATTTAGCGGCATGTTACTTTCATGCTTTCGGTAAGCTTAAAAAGCATCTCGGTGGACAATTCCGAAATGATAAGGAGGTGAAAGCAGCTGTTTCCATGTGGTTATATAGTGCTGGAGGAGATTTCTATGCATCCAGAATCGAGAAGTTGGTTGTCCGTTCGGCGAAATGTTTAGAGTGTCTTCGGATCTATGTGGAAAAGTGAGCTTACATTGTATGCTGTCATAGCCGTGTTGCCTTTGTACTGACAATTTAATAAATCATCCTAACTCGGAAGTGCAACTTACTTTTTTATCTGCCCTCGTATTAATCAATAAAAAAACCACCATTTATTAAACTCACCTCCACCGCTTTTAAAATTTGCAATATTACTGACAAAACAGAAAACCTCAATGTTTGAAAGGAATTGAGAATTTACATCTAACTTACCATCACAGCAAGAACTCACTGATGATAAGTAATATTTTTACAGATTTTCTTTTGAAATGGGGCAGCGAACTCAAAAATGAAAAAGTAACTTCATTAATTAGTTAACTGTGCAGTACACTACCTCTGATTTTTTTTTCTGAAAACATTAGTGCCGCTTCCTGAAAATTCGACTTTTTAACATTAAGTCTTTAGGCCAAGGCATTATTAAAAGCTTTCAGATGTCATGGGAAAGATAAACAAAACTGAATTTTGTAAAAATGCAAGCACTTCAGAGGAGATAAGCAAGTCAGTATCTCTATTAGAAACCAGCATATTCTAATCAATGCACGGGATTAATCTCTTAAAACCAGTTAAGAACTCTGAATATGAGGCTTTTATATGAAAGAAGCTTTCACAAACCATAGCTTATATTTGAGACATCAGTAAGAGAAGTTATGAAAATTCATTTTTAAAGTATGTGTTAATGCACAAAAATATTGAGCCAGCACATGTAAGGAATAATTATGAAAGTACTAAAAGAGCTACAGAAATGGACAATAAAAATGATAAAGAAAAAGGTAATGAATGATAAGCCAATATCAATCGAATCTAAAAAGGCACAGCAAATTCTAAGAAAAACTCTTGAACTGAAAAATGTTGATTAAAAAACGAAAAAAAAAAAAAAAAAAAAAAAAAATTACCAGCAGTTTTATGAAATTTAGAATACAACTGAAAATCTATTGCTGAACAATATAAAACAAACACAAATAAAATAGTTGTTTGTAAAAGATAAAATTTTATCAAGAACATAATTATAAAAATATTTTTGTAAAAAAATGAAAAAATAAATTTTAAAATTATAGAAATAGTTTAATTTTACCTTTAATTTTAATTATTATTTTAGGATTGATTATTGAATTAGTTGTTAATATTTTATTTCAAAAGTTTAAAACTGATATCCCGATTTGAATATCACAATCTATTCAACTGAAATACATTTGAAAGAGAAGTGATTTTAATAAGTGGTAGGTAACTGTATGTAAATAGTGGTAACAATTTTCCAACCTTTAACACCAGGATGATCTTCGACATTACACCAACCAACAAGTCGCTTTACAAAATCAAGATTTTCTCCAACTTTAATCGCTACTGCTTCTGCATTTGGGGGGAGAAAAATAGAATTTTTAAATATATCCACACATAAAACAGACATTTATAAAAATTCCAACACCACATGCAAATTATTCATTAAAAGAAATAATAATAATATGACTTGGGAAAAAGCATATTAGTAACAGTATATTGATATGTAATAGTGATAATTATTTCTAATAACAAACATTCCATATGTTTCTCAAATATAAATTTAAACAATTCGTTATTCTAAATGAAAATTTTTAATGCATGTCTAATCTTCCATTTACTTAAAGCATAGGGCTCAATGACATACTGGCAAAACTGGTAATATTCAATTTTGTTAAACAAAGACTCATTCAGAACTTTTATACATTTACTAGTGACATATTATTCCACTACCTGGCAATGCTATCTGATAATTTATAATTATAATATGAAAAAGGGATCAATTCATGGAACATAACAAATTATTAAGCCGGAAATCAGAGCCAGATAAATTCTGGAATATGCAATATTTCAGAAAAACAAAACAAAAAAAGGGGGCTACGAATTACTATTTAATTTATGTTATCAATATCTGAATAAATAATAAAATATTTTTCAGTGAAATACAGTCAACTTGCACAACAAAGATAGTTTCTTTAGAGAATGAAAAATACTGGCCATAAGCTGGACACTTTTCCTAGGGCGATACTAGTAAAGTTGTATAAAAAATGCATTACTTTACTTTTTGATCAAAGCAATCTGGCTCTTTTCTCATTTCTTCACAGAAATATGCTCAGTGTTAAGGATATTAATAAGGAATACTTAGTAAGTTCATATGACTCTTTCAGCTATGCCTTAAAATTTTTTTCATTCAACCATGCAGACAGTAAATTCAAGTAGCAATTATGTTTTTTGGATGCTCATAACAAATTATATTAAATGTTAGAGAACATTAATTTCTCCATGTCATTTTAATTGGAAATTTAAAAAAAAAAAAGCATTGCAAAAGGCATAATACAAGACAATTAAGAGTCATTATAAACTAGCCTTTTCTTCATCTTCAAAGCATTGCGAGCTTCACTGCCTTATTTACATAGTTTTGTTAAGCAATTTGAGTATCAGTTTGCTTTCTGTTTTTGTCCTACACTGCTCACTTAACTTTTTTTGAAGGATTTCTCAGAAACATTTCAGAAAAATTACAGACATTAACTTTCCACGTATGTGCATATTGTAAACTGCAATATATCACTTAGTAAACAAACAAAAGTGAATAAGCTAAACATAACAGAAACCAAATACTTTATTCAATGATTGTTCAAGACAAAAGGATCAAAATATTAAACTGGTGAAAATGGATAAACACAAAGTGATATAGACTGGAAACCAAATCACAAGGGAAAATGCTAACAAATCCAAGAAAAGTAAAAACCATATTTCCTTTATAAGTAATACTAAATAAACAAATTAGTTACTACTGTTAAAAAGCCAACACTGACACCAATAAAATAAGAAAAATACCAAAGAAATTAGAAAAAAGAATAAACTTTTGTAAACAGCACATCAGAATAATTCTAAGCAATTTGAACACATTGTATGAGGTGTGTGAGTGGTATGTATTTGAACACACTGAGCAATGCTTTAAAAATCAACAAATATGATGTATGACAGAATGCTGATCTAGCCTTACATTCTAGGAAGACAGATTTTTACTTGTAAAGCTATACTACAACTGATGTGGAATGATTGAATAAAATTTTGAAACTACATTAAAATGTAATTTATTGAATCATTTAGGTTTTATTACCATCTGAATATGGATCCCACAATTTTCAGAAATTGCTTGGTTTATTTTATGTATATAAGCTGAAAAACATACAAATATAATTGGTAATAACAAATACAGATACAGAAAGCAACCTAACATTTTAATCTTGAACTTGCACACTGATGAGTGAACAACATTAAATACTGTCCATGATATTTATAAATTTTTCAAATCAATCTTGAAAAAATAATTTAGTTATTTTAAGTATTTCAGACAAGCTTTCCTGAGAATATGACAGCTATTCCCATCACCTGAAGAAACATAAAAGCCTAGAAGATTTTACTAACAACCAGGAAAAATTTCATAATTCAAAATTAGAAGCTGTAGAAAAGGCTCCCCATATTTTAGTTTCTAGTTGTACGAGAGGTTACTGTTAAAGTAGACTATGTGTAATACCGCTGCAGAAATCCCGTTACTATTGAAAAAACATTGAGCCACACTCCTTTTTGTTAATTCAATCAAAGTTGAAAATACGTTTTCATTAATATGCTGTGAATGTGATATTTTGCATGTTAATATTATGTATACCAATATATAAGTATACTTTAAAAAAGACAGAATGTAAAAGTTCAAAGAATTTCAAAACAAATGCTGGTCTGAAAAACATACAGTGGATTTTTCACCTTTTGTTACTTATTTGACAGATTAGACATAATAAATAGAAAGCATACCTTTTCATTTTAAACACAGAAATTTCAACATAGTTAAATTAAAAAGAAATATCTTAAAAATGAAATAATATTGGATGACAGCAAAATTTTGAGTCTTATCTGAAAATAAAACATAAGTGGCCATATTTGAAAGAAAACTGGTTTCTTCAGAGTCATAGCTAGGGTTTTCAGCGCCCAGGGACAACTGAAGATTTTGCGCCCCCTACTGCTTGCCAAGGATGGAAAACGTTTAATTCTAAAATGTCGTAACATCAGTTTGGCGCCCCTTGGATTCTGCGCCCGGGGACAGATGCCCCCTCTAGCTACACCCCTTGGTTTTCTTTATGTACATTGCAGACATCCCCTTTTCTCTGATTATCTTGAAACACTGAAAATGAAGGTTTTTTCCACAAAGAAAGTTGCAGGGTAACTTTTAATGATTTCTTCAGAATTAAATTTCTTGATTTCAAACTGTTCTGCAGAAATTACAACAGATGAAATTCTGAAACATGAAGATAAGATGATAACATGTTTTGAGTGGCCAAACTCGGATAATTTCTCATACTTTTTAAATTCAATTTAATGAGTAGCATATAGTAATTTTCACCATGACTGTTTTGCCAGATGGGAGAAGGCTGACAAAAAAATGATTTTTCAGCAATATACCAAAACAGACAGTGAAACTTTCATTAGATGAAATACAGCACTTGCTACAGATTCCAGAATTTCACCTGCTTGTCCCCCCCCATTATATACTTTTGTGCAAGTTTCCTTTTTCAACACCTGCAACAAATTGATCTAAAAATGAATCTTTTGCATGAATCTATGTTGTGAGCCTTGGGTAAAGAAAGTATGACATCAATTTTGCTGGAAAACTGTTCACAAAAAATTGAATTTAAATTCATTTTTTTGTGAACTGGCTTTATCATTCAAGCCACCATTTTAAAATCTGCTAAACTGTGTTCATAGCAGATTCCAAATGCATACATCAAATGCTTTTTACCGAGGCTCTAACATCAACTCATTTCTAAAATTCATACAATAACAAGGCACAAACAGAAATCCACATTCTCTATTTTGATACTGTCAGGCACAAATTAATTTTGCTAATCTAAATTGACTCAGTATCCTTCCATCTATCTGTCAGTATACCAGAGCCATGAAATAAATATCAGTGCTGCTGTGCAATTATGTTTCCATGATCTATTACACCATCTGTCCAAAAAGTTCTGAGATATGTTTTCTTCCTTATATATAAGCAACATTAGCTCTGTAATTTTGGTGGCAGACAAAACTAACAGCTGTAAACAACAAATAATCCTTTAACTCATGCAAAACTATTTTAGTGGTTTAAATGTTTTAAAGAAGGACAAGTGTCACTCAAGGACAATGACAGAACAGGGTATCCAACAACACATTTTTTTTTCAACAGAAACATTGAGAAAACTCGCTAAAATCTGGCTGTCAACTCTCATGCAAAGGTACTGTAGAATTGAATATCTCTAAATCAAGTGTTCACAATATTCTCCAGAATGTTTTGATAAAGAGAAAAGGATACACAAAGTTTATTCCACATTCTTTGTTTAAAAAAAAAAAAAAATGAATGGACGCCTGCTGCAGTTCGAATGAAAATTGCAGACAATTCTGATCTGGAAAAAACCATCACTGGTGACAAGACTTGCTGTTAACAGTACAAATCTATGACAAAAAGACAAAGTGCAGAATGGGTTGGTGATGGTTTGCCAAAACTAAAGAAAGTGCAAATGACAAAACTTAAAATGAAAACAATGCTCATCACATTTTTTGATGTTCACAGCATTATCCACAGGGAATTTATTGCCCCTGGCACAATTATAAATTCCCAGCATTATCTGCATACCATGTAGTGGTTGTATTGAATTCAGCAGATTTGTCTGGAACGAATTTTTTATTAACAAACTCAATGATTTCAAAGCGACATAATAGCAACACTGTACAGAAAAAGAAAAAAAAATTACCTCCAGTGCACGAGACTGTGTATCGGAAATTCTAAAGATATGCTCATTTAAAAATTATTTTGTGATATTGCTGCTGAACTGAATTTTATAGTTTCAGCACGAAGAAAATGATATTTAGTAAACAAAGATAATCCACAAAACATTAAAAAAACGCCCCTCTGGGCGTAATGTAAAATCTGAAAGCTTTCAGATTTCTTTCTTTTTTTTTTCTTCCCCTTTTTCAGGACTGTAAAGTACATTAGGGAGATACACTATGGACAGATTAAGTCCTAAACATTACATGAAACTGATAAAACTTTATTTTGAAATTTGAAGATCCATCACTTTCGCTCAAAGAGCATGTTGTTGGCACTTCAGTATGTGCTACTGTCTTCATCAGACTATGATTCTCCATCTGATAGCATACTTTCAACAACATTATTCAGTCTGCGATCACCCAAGAAAAGGTAGACAAAATTCCGTTTGATGTTCTGATAATATTCATCCAGCAATCATCGAATGAACAGCAACCACCAACAAGCCGATAACCATTGAGCAGCTGAAAAACAATATATGGGCCTAGATTCACAAGTTGCGGCCAGAAACTATCTACAAAGTTATGAACAATGTACTTCACATAGCCACTCTGTGTGTGGCTGCAAATGCTGATCATTTGAAATGCTTAATTTTTCACACCTAGGGTTTTCAAATTTTTTAACCATGTTCTTCATATCAGAGACAGGAATAATTATGTGCATTTCCAAACTAAAAAGTACTGTAATTTCGGGTAGATAAGCCGCCCTGGGGTATATGCCACAAACATGATAATAGACTGAAAAAAATGAAAGTTCATCGAATACGCCGCAGCAAAGCATTCCAAAACATGGCGCTTAATATTCATTTAATTCCCTGCCATATTGATGTAATCATCATCGATAACATTTTATAACATTTACAACATAAATATAATCAGTAATATATAAACAAAGAAGGAAGAAATATCTTACCTTGAACTTGCCAAAAACGAACTCTGACGATTTATAATAGATATTATTTTTACAGGTTCAGTAAACTTCGTTTATCACCATAAATTACCATATTATGAAAAAGAAAACATAAATTAGACAAACAAACAAAATTTTCTAATTGTATTCAACTACATTTATTTACACAAAACCTTCAAAGTCTGACTCATCAATGTCAGATTTAAATAAATTTAATAAATGACCATCAAGGTCAATGTCATCATTCTGTTCTAAATCACTTCTTTCAACATTACTATTTTCACTTTCATTTTCTTTTTCAATGATTTCCAATTTAATGACAGCTGATACGATCATATCAGCTCGGACTGATTGCCCTGCTTTATCGACACATAAGGCAGCCTCCTCATACAAGGCTTTTCTCATTCGTCTGCAATTCGTGAAGGAATGGAGTCCACTTTGCATACATTCCTCCCACTGCTTTTGAGGTTCATGCTTGAAAATTATATTGATAGTGAGATTCAGTGGCTGTTAAATTTTTATAAGCCCACCTGGTATCACTGAGACATTGGTGCTAAGTTTTTTTTTCTTCAGATCTTGCCGTATCCGCTAAAAGGATAGCATTGAATCCAGAATAATGAGTCCGAGGGGTTGGAAAAAAGCCCCTTTTCTTTTTCAATAAATTCCTCTCAGCCAAAACATCACTTCTTCGCACATCTAGCCTTTTCCGTTGGAGCAAATATAACTAACTTCTTTAGGGAAGTTTACTTTTGGAATTGTTTTCTTATGAAAATTATCAAAAGGGTTAACTTCTTTCCATTCGTGGCACAACCCAAAACACAAGTAAAAGAAGTCTTTTCATTCCCAGTTGTTAACACTGGAATAGATATTTCACCTACTGAATGAAAAGTTCTGCTCGGAGGACAGTCAAAAGCCGACGGGCACTTCACGTATATTAATTATTTGCCCTCTTTTCAAATTTTGTTTTTTAATTTCCTTAAAAAAGCTATCTTTTTTTCAAGCCAGTCCACGGGAAGCTTTTATCCAACTGTTGTTTTGGTCCTGACAGATAATTTCTTTTGCTTCATGAACCTGAAACACCTCCTGAAATTAGGTCCTCCAACAAAATATTTAATGCCTATTTGTCAAGCAATTACCCTTGCTCAAAAGGGAATTCTAACTGTTGATATTGATAATCCACTTTGTCACTGCTCTATTGTCCATTTTTCTAAATTGTCTTCCAAAACAGGCCAAGCAATGACACCAGTTCGACGAGATCTTTTATTCTTAGGCCATTTTCTCTAATTCTTCTTGTTCAGACTTCCACCGCTGTTTGCATCGCTTGTCAACTTGAAATTCTTTAGCTGCAGTGTGATTTCCAATTTTGATCGCTTTCTTCACTGCCGAAAGCTTAAAAGCAACTATATAACTTTTTCTTCATGTAGGAGCCAAAATAAAAATAATATTTTTAAAGTGTGAATGATAAGGCAAACGAAAAGCAAGCTACAAAGCAGTAAAAACATTCAAGAGTGAGCACAGCACTTGGCAAGTAAACATAGCTGTTTCCATTACAACAAAAAGTCATAGGAAAACACAGGTAAAACCATGGAGTTTAGGAGAAAGTACATGCATTATGGTGTCTTTACAGAGAGTGCCACCTACCTTAGTTAGGGAATTTTGAACTTATTGCACTGCTTAGCGCAATCTGAGATCAGAATATTGCAGCGAATTCTTACCGTTTCGCTTGTGCATTACTAGCGAAGTTTTAAGGACGGAGGAAAAGCAAAATTCCCACAGATACACCGTAGACCTAAATTTTCAACTTTTAAAAACATATAAGCTGTGGCTTATCTACCCGAAATTACACTAATGCACTATTCAAACCCATGTGCAACTTCTGTGCCACCCTGTAGAATACCTGAAGCATTAAAACCTTTATCTTAAGTTTTTCTAGTTTTTATTAAATCAGTATTGGAAATTTTCAAACAGACAATGTATATATATACAGAAAAGTATATAAACCGAATATATTAAAATATTTCAAATGTTTACCTTGTTTGTCTAATAACATTCTTAAAGTACCAAGAAGTTTAAAAACAACAGGAAATGTCTCAACATTCATCATTTCAACTAGATTATCAACCACACCTAGTTTCACCATTTCTGCTTTGTTCTGTACTAAAAATTCAAAATAAGACACAATTTTTAAAAAAAATTAAAATACAAACTGATAACAAAACTAGTAATAATTTTAAAATTTTAGTTTTTAAAATTAATTCTGACTATCAGAAAGAATTTAAATATGGAAAGAAGAAAATAATGAGTACTAAATGTTACAATGGATTTAATAATCAACACAACAAAATTTTCACAGACAATTCATAAAGCATCCTCTTTAATTTTTGATTACTTACTTAGAATATATACAAATATTCAAATAGGATAATTATTTAAAATTCTTAATTAGGGGGGAGAAAAAATGAAAGCCAGAAATGAATATTCATACTGTAAATTAAAATTCCAGATCAATAATTAAATTTTAATTACTAATTAAATATAACTTATAAGTTCTGGTTATTCGGAAAACTTATGCATAAAATTATTACTTCCAATTCCTAGAAACAAATTTGAATTAAACAAAAGATTGGTCAGAAACAGATATAGTGTGAACATCAATCATTAATCTAATGTATTTAAAGAAATTAAGAAATAGAATGGCATAATATCTGAAAACATTTTAAGATGGAAGTTAAAAAATGCTGCTCTAAATCATAAATGAAATCTGAAAATAGTAATCGTAAAACAAATACAAAAGAATGAATGCTAAAATGAGTAAAATACATCAATTGAAAACCTAAGAACGTATGCAAGCACTAGTTAAGTATGTGAATTATCTCTTTCATCCATAAACTAATCAGTTTACAAATAAATATGACGGGTTTGATACTTATTTTTGTTAGAAAAATTTTATAATAATTTTATAATAATACAATAAATAAAGACTAAAGAAAATGCTTTATACCCTACTACTAAAATTTTGCAAATTTTTTTTTACTATAAATTATTTGTTGATGTTACATTCACAAAAGAATTTAATATTAAAAATGGCCAACATTAAACATGTCACATTTAAAAAGACATAAATTTATTAAATTTTAGTAAAAGAGTAAAATAATTATATTAACCAGGAATGGCTAAATTTCTAAGAGCACAAAGTACAGCATGTTGCATTCTGATGTCACCATCTCTTCCAGAATGCTTCTTTAACAGTGACCTCAACTCTTCAACAACACCATCAGCCAACATTCGAATACAGTGACTATCTATTAGAAAAATACATTTTATATCAAAATATGTGATATCTAAATATAAATTTTTTATAATATCATGTGTTAAATTTCTACAGAAATAATTATTACTTAAAAAGTTACATTTACTCTATTGTAAGTGACACCTTTTCAGAGTAATTATTGCATAACATATATAATAATAAACGCTACAGCGCTGAATTCTTCTAGGTAGCCATGTGGTACAGATTACTTTTTTATTATTATGGTGTTGCACTGAATAAATTTAAACATTCAATTCAAAATATAGTAGTTGCAAATGTAAAAAAAAAATAAAATAAAATAAAATAAAATAAAATAAATAAATAAAATAAAATAAACAGCAGAAATTTTAACAAAATCAGTTATACGAGGCACGTCCAGAAAGTAAGTTCCGTTTCAATTTATCTCCGCTGCAGCTCTGCGATCGCAGTTCCGCACATGCGCAGTAGACGCTCTGTATCAAGGAGAAGAAACACGCGCCATTTGGAGATCGCTGTCAGTCACGTACACTTTGTTGTGCTTGTTTACAATGTCAGTGTTAATTGAAAATCCCGCCGCTTGTGAAATCAGATCTGTAATTCGTTTTCTGAATGCGAGGAAAGTGAAACCTAGTGAAATTTATCGGCAAATTTGCAATGTTTACGGACCAAAAGCGATGAGTTATTCAATGGTGAGAAGATGGATCCGAAAGTTCAACGACGGAAGTAGTGATGTGCACAATGAAGAACGAAGTGGGCGTTCATCTTTGGTTACAGAAGAACTGGTTCACACGATTGATGACAAGATCCATGAAAACCAAAGGTTTACAATTAGTGCTCTCGCTATGGAATTTCCCCAAATTTCACGATCACTAATGCATGAAATTGTTACCGAAAAACTGAAATTTCATAAACTTTGCTCACGTTGGGTACCAAAGATTCTTACTGAGCAACACAAAACAAAACGGATGGGTAGTGCACTTCAGTTTTGACCCTTTATGCTGAAAGCGGCGAAGAATTTCTGACACAGATAGTCACAGGAGATGAAACTTGGGTTTCTTACGACACCCCTGAAAGTAAGCGGCAATCAATGGAATGGAGGCACACTTCATCCCCAGGAAAGGTTAAGCCGAAGCAAATCTTAACACCTCGAAAAATGATGTGCACAGTGTTCTGGGACTGGAAAGGCATCTTACTTATTGATTTCTTACCACATGGTCAAACAATCAGAGCAGATGCTTATTGCGAGACACTTCCGAAATTGCGCTGCGCAATACAGAATAAGCGCCGAGGACTGCTGTCAAAAGGTGTTGTTTTTCTTCACAACAACACACTGCAAATGTGACGAAAAACCTCCTACAGGGATTTGGCTGGGACGTGTTTGACATCCTCCGTACACCTGACCTCGCTCCTAGCGACTCATCTGTTCTTACATCTTAAGTCTTTCCTTGGCGGTCAACACTTGAACAATGATGACTAGCTGAAAGAAAACTGTTTCCACTGGTTGAAGACACAGGCGGCAAATTTCTATGAAGGAGGATACAAAAACTTGGCCACGCTATGACAAATGCCTCAATATTTCGGCAGTTATGTGGAAAATAGTTTAAGAGTTTTTGAATTTTGTGCATAAATAACTTTTCTGTAGCTGTACACAATTTACTTTTATTACCAAACGGAACCTACTTTCTGGACGTACATTGTATAATTGAAATTTATACAACAATCAACATTAAAAAATTACATTTTCCATACTTATTTCTATTTTGATATTTAAACAAATTTACATCAGTTTCATTAACCCATCTGAAGGTTAATTCTTTCTTAGCAACCCCCCACCAAAAATATTCCGGTTAATCTTTGAATTATGGTAACTTGGCGATTTTTGGCGAAAATTTGGCGATCAGCCCTGCTACAGCAACCTGCTAGTTTGTTTTTGGACACTATTTTGTTTTCACAAAGAAAAGGCAACTTTTTTTTTTTTTTTTTTAATCAACCTTTTTTTCCAACAATCTTCTAGCCGAATCACGCTTATGCTAGAACTTTTATGGAACAAAAGTGCTTAATCATGATGAAGATTAGGTGCGAAATTGGGAGAAAGTGCAGAATCGCCCACTGCTTGCCGCGTTTTTAAGAACTGCACATACACGGTATCATCCATGTACACGTTGACCTATTTTCACTTAAAAAAATCCCAGAATTGCACAAAAATGCATTGCGCACACTCTTGACTTTATCCATGTACACTGCTAAAGTCCTAGCTAGTAACCTTTATCGCCTTACCAAAATGTCGTCAAACTACCTGTTACCATATTCCAAAGATTAGCCAATATTCCCCCAATATGAACTCAAATCTTAAACTATGAAATTGTTATTGATAAATTCTAAGAGATTAACAATTATCAACTTTTCCCTTTTGATCTTTCAAAATTGAAGAAAAATTTATATTTTACAAAGGCATATGTACTTTCAAATGTTTGTTTTCCAGCCACATATCCCTGGAATTTTGCCTTGAGTATATATTGCAGTCATAAGCACAAAATACATACATGAGTTTACAGATATACTACAAAATTGTACACAAACACACAGATGACATACATGCATAGACATACAGAACATTAATAGCCCTTAAAAGGCAAAGTTCTGATTTCTACACAAAATATTTGAAAATAAAGGCAATTAAAGGTCTCCAAAGTTAAAGAAGCATGTCAAAAACAGTACAATCATCTACTCCCTTTAATAAAACAACAATAAAAAAAAGTTTCATATACTGAAAACTGATTACAGAGAAGTAATAATGCAATGAATTTAATCCTATTCACAATTTATGTTCTGCATACGTATGGCATTTTTCACAAATATGGTTTTTCCCAATGTATTAGTAAATAGCACTTTAAACTTGCTCCATTCTATTCAAAAACATGAAGTCTTAATTATTCATGTAGTCTACTAGACTACATGAATAATCAATTACAGTTTAGTGAAGGAATACTGCTTTACTTAAGAAGAAGCATGTGCTGCCCTAAATAATAAAGTGAACTTTTTCAAGGTAACCATCCCTCTAAAGCTGCCACTTCTAAAGTGACCAGAATTTCTGTGAATATAAATAAACATTAGTATTCTATGTCTTCTCTTTATGAGGAACACCTCCAAAGAAGATCATGCTCATCTGGAACCACAGATGATGGTCTTAAAAAGGCTTCATTATACTTAAACTAATATAGTTATTAAAAGACATGTTATGCAGTTAATTTTAATTTTATTAAACTCCTTAATTCACTACATATATTTATCATTCTATATATTCAACTCAATTTGAAATTGTATGATGTAAATTTTCCTTGAGTTCAGTAAATGCTTAAGTCCAGAAAATTACAAAAATTCCAGCTCTTGATAATTCGAACAGTTTTGCTAGTTTGAGTTTCAATTACCAAAATCTATACTAAATATAAATATATATATATATACATACATGAAAAAAAAAGGTTAAGATATATACAACAGATTACACATTAAGTATAACCTCTTCTTGTAATATTTCTAGCTGCCAAAGCATCAGCTATATATTAAGAGATTTTCACCATTACTTTTAAACCATAAAAGTGTTTCTTTGCCCACTCTTGAGAATTCAAACAGTTTTGCCAGCCTCTCTGAGATTCAGCTAAAAAAATCTTTCACGTTAGACGCATAAACAAACAAAAAAAAAAAAAAAGGGGGGGTGTAAAGATCTATACAATAAATTATACATTAAGGATAACCTTTTCTTGCAAAATTTCCAGCTGCCAAAGCACCTGCTATTAAGAGATTTTCATCATTACTTTTCAACCAGGAAAGTGTTTCTTTGTACACCAAACCTTGACCATCTTTCCACAAATGCTCCATACTTGCATCTTAATATAAATAAAACTTATTTTAGTATACAACATTTATTTACATAACATATATATATATATATATACAAAAAAAGAAAAAAGATCTGAAAGGTTTCAGATTTTAAATGACATCCAAAGGGGTGTTTTTTTTAACATTTTATGTGTTACCTTTACCTATTAAATATCATGTTCTTCGCACTTAAACCATAAAACTCAGTTCAAGAGCCACATCACAAAATAATTTTAAATTGAGCATATCTTTAGAATTTCCAATACAGTCTCACGTGCTGGAGATAAAAATATTTTTTCTGTACAACGTTGCCATCGCTTGCTTTGAAATCCTTGAGTTTGATAATAAAAAATTCATTAAAGTTTTACAAAATATGAAATCAATGATAAAACAAATTCCAAATTTGGGCTTCCAGATGCCCATATTCGCAGTAAAATTACATCATTAAAAAACTGGATGGCTCTAGGTACCATTGTTTTATCACACTGCTAGAAACATGCATACATTTATGCAGATTCTTCATTATTTAATTTCATCAAATATAATACAGAGCAATAATATATGATGGCAACTTTCAAAAGTGATACAGTCTTTTAAAGTTTTTGACGCAAAATGATATTAATAATCCTTCAGGGCAAATTGCCCCTTTGGACTGGGGAAGAAAAAAAAAAAAAAAACTGTCATCTTACTTGTTGTATAAAACAAATAAAAATTATACTAAACCTAAGAAAAAGTAAATTGATTCAAAATTAAAAATAAAGATACAAATTTTACTGGATACATTATGATATTTTCATTAAATTCTTTACAATAGCAAAATTACAAAAATAATTATTAAGCAAATAACTAGTTACATTCTTTAAATATTTTCATAATTAGCAAAACCAAATTAACAAAATCTCTAACACATACAGTCTCGCCTTCCCATGCACCTGCATAGTTGTTTTGGGCCAATCGGATATCTAAATATGCGGAATAAAAATGTTCACAATGGAACATTACATATATTCTCGAGTTACTACATACTCCTTAGATTAATTAACAAATAACAGTGTTATTTTTCATATGCTGAGGATGAATGCAAGCATATGATATAAAAACTTAAGAATTCTTCTAAAATTCAAAGTCTACCAAAAATCTATATCAGGAAACAATGTCCTTATATTAATTTTTATGTCTGATCACAACTCAGGTGTTTTCTGGTGCAAAATTGCAACAGAAATGGAAACAGTTCTTTGATATGATAGATTATACCTCCAGAATCTGAAGGGAAATTATAATCACTAAACTTGTATACAGAAATAAATGTGCTTTCATTTTATCCTTAAACTGGAAAACAATTAAGAAGTTCTCTGAAGGAGATATCTTCAGTCAGATGACATTTCCCAGACAGATGAACTTTGTAAATATTATTCATAATCAAATTTAATGATCATTCATTAGACTAACATCACAGCCATATCTTTATACAGCAGCATAATGAAGGAATCCAATCTGTACAACATGCATGATGCAGTTCAGCTCCTGACACTGAAATTGTGATATAGGATGCCATTGTACCCTACACTTTATGCTAACTAGTGTGACTCTAAACAATCAGATACAGGTTGAAGGAAGGCTGTCATTTGTGCATTCGCATAAGTATATATTAAATATTGTCTCGTCTTGCTAACTGCTAGGCTAGGCTTCTAATCCAATTTTGAGGAAGAATAATCCAGGGAAGCAGCCCGAGAATCTCTCACCCCTCTTCCCTTACCACCAACCACTCTCTAGGCCTTTCGGCTTGCCATGTATTTTGAATGACTTTCTTGCCGCAGAGGCACTATACACTTACAAACATCCATGGCTTTTTCGGAATTTGAACCCAGGCTTATTGGTATGGCAGTCAATGCCGTTAACTACTATACCATCAAGGTTGCTACTCTTAACAACCAGTTAAGAATAGATGGTTGCTAGAGTGCTGAAGCCTTTGGTAGCGATTGAGCTTTATTGTATCTCTAGGAAAAGACACTGCACAACTTCAGGTGGCATAAGAGGTCCAAAAAACCAACAGAAATCATATAGCTGCCTCAACAGAAGCACAATGTCTGGTATGAAAAAGATATTACCCCCCATCAACATGTGTGAACTATGGCATCCACTGACAGATAAGATGCATGTCTGGCAAGAAAGTTTAATTTTTGTAAGACCACAAACGGTTTTTCAAACCAAATTTATTTTTACATGAAAGGCCAGTTCTTGATATATTCGTCTACATAGCTTTCACCATTTGTTGAGGCATTTAAAGTGGCAGGTGACCAATTTACCTATACTTTTCTCAAAGAAAATTCCTGCAACTGATGACAGCCTTAGCTTCACAACAGTTTTGATATCATCCTCACTTCGAAAGTGTTGACATCCAAGGAATCTTGATATGCAGGAACAAATGGTAGTCACATGGTGCCAGGTCTGAGATGTAGGAGGACAAAGATGATTGAACTGCTGCTAACCGAATTCCTGAGTTTGTTTTTAACTGATAATGGCAGCATGTGCTGTACATTATCACGAAATAAGTCATTGACTATGCATTCCTACTCTGAAGTCCTGTCAAAATTTTACAGTATCAAGTAGCACTGATAATTTCACATATAGAAAGAACTTGAAGAAGCAGATTTTATATTCCAAAACATGAAGCACATGATTTTTTTTTTGGTTAACACTGATGTTTTGGAAGATCCTATGTGTCCCTACTCCACTGACATCTGTTTCAATTATGGGATTATATGATGAACCCAGGTTTTGTCAAATGTCATTAAATGGCTTAAAAATGCTACTTCCTCATCACTATATTGTGTAAGAAACATCAAAACCTTTCCAGGCTGCTTGGTTTTTGTGGACATCTGAAAGCATTTCTGATGCTCAATGGCCACACAACTTATGGTAACCTAAGTGGTGGGAAACAATTTTGTGCAAAACAGCTCTTGAAATTTCAGAGAATTTATCAGAAAACTTTGATAGTGTAAAGTGTCTTTTCCTTCAAAGTTTTTCATCATATCAGTAATTTGATGATGAAGAATTTTAGAAAGCTTCCCATTCTGTCTGTGCATTCAAAAAAGGAATTACAGATTGAATCTCACAGCCAGCAGGTTCTTTTATTGTCTTAAACGTTTTCAGTGATCACAACAAAATGAAAACAGAACAGACTGATTGTAATGGCAGCAGTCAAAAGCAAAGGAACAAAGAGGACTAGTACACATTTCGGAGCATTGCCAGTAATGCTGCGGCAGAAGAATGAAATGGAACTTACTTCCCAGACATGTCTCATATATTCCAAGCAAACAATCATCTTACCCTCTCCATATTGAACTGTAGTAGCAGTTATTCTTTTCTATGGTGACTAATCAATACTTCATAATCTGTATGTTCTAAATATTAAATTAATGATTTCATTCTTGTAACATATATTATGCTTTCAAATCTTTAGCCCTTCAACAAAAACTGCTTTCAAACTCTTGCTCTTTGTAGCATAGCATATTTTAAAGACTAACAATGGAGTTAAAATATTTACTTAAATGCATGCCTCAAAATCTCAACCACAATTTTTTACAGATCATTAAACTTTTATCGGAATAGGAAACATGAAAAATCAGTATGCCCTTATTGAGATTCGAATTTCAAACCTCATGATTGCCAACTTGATGTGCTACTAACTACACCATGAAACCACATGCAGCAAGGAAGAAAACTCCTATTCTCCCCCATTTAAAGGGCAACTGGGAAGGAGGGGGAAATCAGTCACAAAATCCAGGTGGTGATGAATTATCATCAACAGATTTTGTTTGGGTACCATTGTAAAGACCACTGAATTTTTTTAGAAGCCAAGAAAACAAAGAAGTTACCTAAGCTTTGTTAGGATTCAAATCCCTGATCCCCGTGTTGCTAGCTGGATATGCTTTCAATTACATCATGAAGACACATGGTAAGGAAAAGAAAATTTCTTACACTCTTCCTGATTTAAAGGATGAGTGGGAAGGAGGAAAACCAGTTGCAAAATTCAGGTAGTGATAAACTATTGTTCATTGCATTTTAGTGGGGCACCACTTGTACACCAATTTTTATTTTTAAAAGCTTGAAAGCATGAAGAATCATTGATGTCCTTGCTATGATTCAAGCTCAGACCTCCCAAATGCTATCCAAACATGCTTCCAGAAAGGTATGCAATACAGTACAAAGTCTGTAATCAGGACGTCCATTATCCGGAATGATCTATAATCCGGACCTCAAAGCCATAAACTTTATGCATGTGCGTGTTGAAAGAAATGTTTAATAAAGTAAACAAATAAATATTAAGCTTGTTTTTGTAAAATTTGATACCCTTTAGATCATAACTGCTCTTTATTTCATAAATTACGGTTTCACATTTTTAATTGTATATTTTCTGCATGCCATCTTACCAGATTTAAATTGATGATCTATAATCCGGAATCACTGAAGTCCCGACGAGTCCGGATTACAGACTTTGTACTGTACAATAAAGGTTTGCAGTAAGGAACACCGTGAAGGTACGCAATGCAGTAAAGAAGGAGAAAACTTCTTATATATATTTTTTAATTACCTATATAATTTATAAAATATTTCTGATATCAAACTAAAAAATTATAAAAAAATCACTAAAAATATATAATAATGAATTAAATCCATGCTAAACTTAATAAGTACAAGCACTAAAAATCTAGCACAGTTATGCCCCAATATCTGCTAATTCAGTATATGCAGTTTCACTTATCCACAGTTCAGTGATGCAAAGCAAAATTCCATAAATTTCTTAAACTGCAAATTTAGAAATGCAACTGAAGTGACAGCAGTTTGTAACAAAACTGAAATAACAAAATCTCTAACACACCAATATTGCCTTCTAACGAACCTGCACTGTCATTTTGGGCCAATTTAAATAAATATAAGGAATAAAAATGTTCACTACAGCACATTATATATATTCTCAAGTTATAAGACACCCCTTACATTCTGAGCTCAGGCCCTAACCTAATGCTCATAAATATTTTGGTATCAGATCAGTGGTATCTTGATTATCACATTATTTGACTTATTTCAGTTTCTATACACACTTTTCTTTAAAACTATCTTCTAATCTTGTTTCCAGCATTCACCCTAGATATAATTTTCTGACATTACTTTATCTAGTAATATAGCATGTGACATACTCCAGTGAATAGAATAAATTATTATTACTTTATTAGATGATGCTAATAATGCTTAATTAATTTATGAATTTAATTTAACCATAATTACTATTTACCATCAGTACTATTTTGTTTCTTATAGTATTCACTATAACCCGAGAGATGATACTGTCTGTGAATATGATAGCATTACTGTAAATTCTTATAAAGAATTACACTGGATGGTATATCATAATTGTACAAGAACAATATACCACAACATTTGACAATATTTTGTCACAGTTCTTTTCCTTTCCTTTAAAATACAGAAACTTCAAAGTGACAATTATTCTTCCATAATGGCAGATTCATTTTCATGTATAAAATTACTTATAATCTCTCTCTTCAAAATCGAATAATTTAAAAAACATTACTCAATGTGGCTTACCACCAGTTAATATAAGTATGACCAAATCAGGTACAGTTTTGCAGATGTTAAAGGTTCCATTTACTACATTTCCACTATTTATATGTGCTCTGACAATTTCAACCAATCTTTCACAGAGACCCATCTCAGCTAAGTTTAGCTTTGCTGAATCTAAGGAATGACAAAAGTTAAAAGTTATCAATATGTTTAATAGTTATATCATATATTTCAACACTTTCTCAAAAGAAACATTGCTTATTTCACAAAACAGTACACCCATGCAGCAATTATATATATAAAAAAAAGAGTTAAAGATATTATTAATGAAAACAAAAAAGAGATGCAGTTTCAAAATTTTATTAACTCTTGAAGAATCTAAAATCAGACAATTCATTAAATTACTGTACTTTTGTACATAATCACCTCTGGTCCCCTCCCCAATACCATATCTGAAAATTGAAAGAAAAAGGTATTTTTCTATTATCAGGGGACCGGATTCAGAAATGTATGTGTGTATGCAGGTATTTATGTATATATTATGCGTGCATGTATGTGTGTGTACACACGTACATTTCTGAATCTGGTCCGAATAAAAGAAAAGTACCAGAAAAAAAAATCACACCGTGTACAAAGTTTGTGAAAGGAGGAAAAAAGAGCTTACACTGTTAAATATTGTCTTCAATAATATTTTTTATAATCATTCGATATTTTGTAACATTACGTAAATTAATGCTTCACATTCACTCTTCAGAAGCCTTTTGATTTTAAATCCACAAGAAGCTGTCCATTCCAAAATAACCCTTTTTAATAAAACCTTCTGTTTTCTCTGAGGAATTTATTCTAATCAGAACTGATTCATCTCCAAATTGTCTTGTTGTGGGTTTAACACCATTCATTCCAGCATATTTTTAACACTTGTAATTTATATTTTTCTATGAGTATTTCATATACCACTGTGTAAGAAAGCTAGAAAAAAAAAAAAAACTATTTGGATGGAAATAAAAAAAAAATTGAACTGATGAAGTTTTCACAAATATCATACTGATTAACTTATAACATAACATTAGTTGCGCTTCCTTCTTATGGAAAGAAGGAAAACAGCTTAGGCAATGTTGCCCATTGCTCTTCCACCATTTGATCATTTAAGTCAGGGATGGGCAAACATTTTCGGTCGCGGGCCAAAAATCGAAAACAAAACTTTTGGCGGGCCAAGATATTTTTCTAAAATTTTAAGAACAATATACAAGTATTACAATTTAATTATGTTAATGAGATAACTGAAATTGCGATTTCATTTTTAAAAGTTACTTATATTGAGGTTCGAGGCGTGATGTACGATTTCTAAGGAATGAAGCTAAATGCGCATGTGTCAATCTACTTCTGAAATACTTCTTTCTAAGGTTTATGGTTGAAAACACTTGTTCACATAGCTAAGATGAAGCAAACATAGCACTGATTTTCTGGGCGTGAGATATTAAATTCGGGAAACTTACTTTCGATAATGATTTGTAAAACTCTAACTTTGGCATATTTAGAAACAGCTGCTTGAGATGATTGTCAGATAGCAACTCGATTCAAACTGCAAATCTGACCTCACTGCTTCCCAGTTTACGTTGAAAAACATGGTAAAAAATCAAATTCTGTTTGAATGGCATTGAAATCTTGACATCTTCGTTCGAACTCAAAATGCAGTTTTTTCAAGCCATCTTCATAATTCTTAAGCTTCTCTTCAATTACTGAGGGTATTGAATTTAACCTCAAACGAGACTAGCTAGCTGCCCAGCAAACATATTAAGATTTACTAAGTTAAGATTAAGTTTCTTTCTAAGAGGTCTAATTCACCTATAATGGATTCCTGTATGTCTGCTCTCCCCGAGAAAAGAGATAACGCTTGTTGACGTCAATCTATAGCTATAACTAACAAAGAACTTCCGCTGCTCACACTTTACGGATTAAAAGCTGTCTGTGCTTGCTATTTCTGTCATTTTATGTTTTGTAGAACAAAAATAGAGAGAGTAAAAAGATCATCAGTCTTTTGAAAAAAGGAAGAAATAAATAATATTTAAACAAAATAGAAAAGGAGATGGATATATAATACATATCTCTTTTAATTTGCCTCGGACGGAAAAATTTAAATTCTCTACGTGGGCCGGATAGAACCTTCCGGCGGGCCGTAGTTGGCCCATCCCTGATTTAAGTCAAAGATTTTAAATGGTAATTACCATGATAGGTCAATAATAAATAAGTAGATAAGATCCCAAACTGACACCAAATATATAGTATCAGCCAAAGATACCTTCTCTAAATTCAGGGTGTCGGGTAAATCGTTAAAACTTCCCAATTGGATGAAGAGCCGATTCAATCCCTTCCAAACCACCAAACGCAAACTCTTGACAAACAAGGGTGCGATGGTGAGTCTAATAAAAAATTTTTTTTCTTAATTTTAATTTTTTTTTAAATTAAATAAGAAGGGCAGAGGTACTTTCTTAAGCCAAGTGATGTATAAAGATTTGATATCTATTTCCAAATTATATTTCAAAACACAGCTATGAGAGGGTATAGTTTCTTTTACCCTGTATAGTATCTTTTACAAAAAAAAAAAAAAAAAAAAAAAAAAAGAAGAAGAAGAAGAAGAAGAAGAAGAAGAACTCACAGGGTGTCTCAATGCTTGTTTCTTGTGCTTTCAAATTCGCCTTACCTGAAGGTGTTTAGTATACATCAGGAACCCTATTATGCCAGACAGCCCTTTCTATAGAAGGGCTTGATCAAAGCTGATATAAGGAAACCCAAGGAATTTGTTTCTAGGGACAAAAAACACTGGACATCGTCCCAGGAAGTGAAAAGGTGTTTCCGCTTCTTCTTTACAAGCTGGGCAGAGAGGAGATTTGACAACACTACATTTGTTGAGATGCTTGGCCAGATAAACATGTCCGGTAACAATTTGAATTACCTGGCATAAGTTAGTTCTACTGAGGTGTATGAGTTTACCTGATAAGTTAAGTATCATACTGACTAACTTGGAACACTTTGTTTCAAAACTTTAGAAATCTTGATCATGAAAATAAGATGTCGATATGGAGATAATTCTAGTGTATCTAGTGAAGATTCATCTGAATATTGTCAACATTAGGAAAATCTGGAATTAGACTTCACGAAAAGATTTCAAGATATTCTTAACATGGAGTTATACCTGAATGGTTTTTGGACCCATTTTCCTGTGCTTTTTCAGAAGTATCTCCAGACTTATCTTCGATTATGGAATGTCGTATAGAAATTTTGCATAGCATTCCCATTATCTTAATTAAAGGAATGTGTGTTCAGTGCAGTAACAAGTCCAAAAACTAGTAAAAGTCAACTTAAAAGCCAACTGTAGATAATTAATTGTGAAGATTTTGGAAATTTTTAACAAAAATGGAGCCAAATATTGACAAACTTATTGAAACTCATCAAGCTTATCCTTCTCATAGTATGCATTTTGGGATTTGTTTAGTATATATTCTTGTCCCTTACAGGATTTAGTTAAACATGACTGTGTATTTACTCTTAATTAGATTAAAATTCAAATAAATCACTCTTATCATTATTGCTTTATTTTTCATGCATATTTTTGCAAAAAATAAAGATATGGGTTCCTAGGGAAGTGCTGAGCACTCAGTGTTTTGTAAAAGTGGGTCATAAACCCAAAAGGCTTGAGAAATATTGCTGTAGACCAGTGGTTCTCAAACCTTTCTGTCCCATATTCCCACTCCTTTCTCAAACTCAAAAAATGCATATACATTTATTTAAATTTAGATTATTTTTAATTTTTTTATAAATTAAATAAGAAAATATTGATAAATATCAAAACTTAAATAAGAGTCTTTTTTATATTCATAAACTAAAACAGGCATAAAATTAATAGGTAAATAAAAGGCTGACCACATTCAACCTCTGAAACTATGAAAATCACCTTCGCCTGGAGGGGATTGCTCCCTGGTTGAGAACCCTTGCTCCAGACTGAGAAAGAAAGACAGCACTAATCTTTCTCCACAAAGCCATGTCATAATAAATTGTCACTTACAGCTCCATTTTTTTTATCTCCACGAATGGAAGAAAATAATGGCCTTATCTAGGATCAAAATTTGAATGAAGAGACTTGAGATGTACATGCAAAGAATATCAATTTGAGAAATTCCAAAAACTAAAGTTTCTTGTGGGAGGAATATTGTATGAATAAATCACAGATTTCTAAACCCTGAACTAAAACAAATTTAAAGGAATAAATGCAAATAAATATGGTATATCCCATTTTCAGAATACACAGAAAATTATATCCTACATTCACTCTCACTCGAAAGATAAGCTTCAGCATTTAATCTGTCTACTCTTCAATTCCATATTTTAAACAGATTCTTTTTTTTGGGGGGGGGGAGAGGAAGCAAGAAATCATAAATTGTACTGCATTCTCAATTTCAGTGACTATGATGGAATAATTTACAGAAACAGAATTATTATTTAAGTTAATAAATTATTCATATATATATTAAAATTTTTTAAGTAAAGCTTTACCAGATAAAAATTCAATCTTTAAAGACATATACAGTAGGGAAAAAACTACAATATTTTTCAGCAATTTAAATTTTTGAACCATAAAGAAATACTTGCCATTTTCACAAAGATTGCCAAACAATTCAAGAAGTGAATCCATAATATCATCATTTAGTGGTTTCTCAAGAAGATTCAGCAGGGAAGACAAGATAGATTTTTCAAGAATTTTGGTTCTTCCATTACCTAAAATATATCACTCTATATGATGCATTTTAACAGGTAGGAAAATATATTATAGTTTAACTCTTTCACAGCAAAAGTGCCCATATTGCTTGTACATTCAGACATCAGAAGCTTATCTGAATGCCTGCATCTATTTTCCACCTCATGCTTTCCCCCATCACATTAGTGCACGACTGATTGATTTTGGAACTTGTTAAATGACATGCCAATCAGAAGCCACTAAAGTATGCACCTTCCCTCTCCTTTGTTTAACATTAACAATGCTTCCATAGTCGGAGAAGACCCACATCTAAATAGCTCATTTTACTCATTCATCAGATAGAGAAAACATCTTGCTGCTATTTTGTTGCTTCATTTCAAAATGCTCAGAGGACGTTACAATATTAACGTCTCCTGAAATATATGCCTTATTATATTTTTTCCTCTAAATTAAAAGTATCATACCTTAAAACTAGTTATTTTAAGAAATATGAAGCACTCAAATCATTAAAATAATAGAGCTATTGATGCTTGCAGTTTTGTCCTAAGGGAAAACAGCACACAATGGGTGAGAAAGCACAAATATCTCCAAGAGAGAAGTAATCACTTCACTTAAGTAGCTTATTGTTTATGCTGTGGCATTCTACTTGGCAGAGAAGGGAAAGAAATCCATTCCAACTGAAATTCGCATACTTAGGCATTTCAGATGTTTCAGAGGAACAAATTTGGGCTCTATCAATGTGAAAAAGTTAAAACACACACATAAGAGAAACACATCACAGAGAATTTTCCAAATACATTTTATTGCTTAATTTCATAACTTCATATGATTAGATAAAGTTTAAATCCATGCATAATAATAATAAAATAAAATAATAAAGTGAAATTTTATATAAACCATACTTTCTCAAAAACTTGTATGTATCTGAATCTATATTATTATTTAAACAATAATTTCTAGATATGTTCAGAGAGATCCTCAGAGGCATTATCATTTCCAAAGCATTCTTAGCAAAGGATGAAAAGTTAACACATTGCACAGGTGAGATTTTTACACTTTTGAATGCTCAGCAGTCAAATCCAGTTACTATCCATTTTAATCAACTAGATAATTTATGACTGTTACTGTTTTGAAGAAACATAGAAAAGAACGTTTGACTAAATATACATAGATATAAAGACAGAAAAGAAACATGCCAAAGTAAAACATAAAATTAGGCAAAGCAACAACTTTGCATTTGCAGTAGATTTTAGTCAAGACCCTACCGATTTCAAGGACAAACAGGTACAGGTCCCTTTATATCAGAAGTAAAAAAAAACTGCATTAACTAATGTTCCAAGGAACAATAAAGTGTCTTGAAATAAAACGTCAAAAATTCCATTTCCCACACACTGAAGAGTTAATTCCTCTTACTTAAGTCTCTTTGAGTCACACTCACTTCGTTTTCCAAAATGAATATTATCACCAAATTGAATGATTAGCTAGGTAATCTCCTCAGTCCTGTACTTTTTGACATTTACATGTACTATTCTGACATCAAATAATTTAAGAAACTATCTTTTTGTCTCTAGCTTTATCAATAACACTTTCCTGCTTTTTGATAGTAATAATGAAGATTTATTCCAGATTTTATCTGTCATAAATTCGATTGACCCAGCCATGCAGTTCACTTCTGAAACTGAATCTAATGATATCCTTCCATTTCCTTGACATTCTTAAAATTTACAATGGATCTAATTTCAGAATTACAGTTTACCATATAAACTTTTCTGTTTGTTTGCCTCCCCATGCTAGGTCATGTCACCCATCTAAACAAAAAATGGCTTTTTTATACTTTTATGTATTTCACGCTCTAAAGTGTGTTCCTTAGAATCTTTGCTTGCTAATGAACTCAATTATTTGAGATCACTTTCCATTGACTAAGAATTTTCCCCCACGACTACTTTAATAAATTTTCATCTTGCCATCAAAGTAGACATTCTGCTGTTAGAAAAAAACATTAATAACTTGTCATGCTTTCATTTCATCCTTCTATCACTTACAAAATTGCATGAATTGTTCAGAACGTCAATTTTCATGTCATTTTCTTGTCAATCGATAAAATGCATAGTTTGATGCTTAAAGATTTCATTTCTGACTTTAATTCTTGGGAAATTTATAGCATATCTTGTCAATTTGAAAAATAGTGGCCAAACTAAAAGAGAGTTAATGTTTCATATCAAGCAGCATGAATCTTATGTCCAAAAAGGCAAAATTACCATATCTTCAATAGTTAATCACAGCTGGAAATTTAATCACACTTCTGATTTTCGGTCGGCAAAAATTATCCAAATAACTTCCTCCACTAGTGAATTGAAGCTTTTCACATTCACAAAGATTTATCTTGTTTAGTTGATGACTTTAATTGCGATCCAGTCCTTCCCAATTCTTTTAAAATTCTATTAAATTAATTAAATATATTTCAATTTTAATTAGTATTTCTGCTAACAGATGGAGCTACATTCTTGTTTGCTTAAGACCTTTTGGGTATAAATACAAGCATAGCTTTACCTTTGTTGCAGACTTTTTTACTTATGAAGAGGGATCCATACCTGTTTGCCCTCAAAATCTACATTAAAATCTATACTTGACTAAAATCTATTCCAATCACACAGTTGTGGCTTTGCCTAAATTCACATATACATTTATTTAGTATTTTTGTAAAAATAAAATATTCATTTTACAGATTTTTTAGTAGTTATTTAGTAAATTTATCAGCATTCTAGTTAGAGTATTTAATTGATTCCTACTTAAAAAAAAGAAAAATAAATTCCCACCTATAGACTTAAATGTTAAAAATACTTGTAGGAACACACAGTAATATTTTTATTCCCACTACACTTAGAAATGTTTCCAAATGTTAGTTTTGTTAATTTCAGTCTGGTCCAGTTTATTTTCAATATCCAAATCACATTTTTACCTGGTTCCAAGTCACTACAAGGAAAATAATAATTTTTCATTGATAAATATTATTTTCCTTTGTATAATTACCATCTTTGGGGGGTCCTGCTACAAGCTGACCACTTGTTCAGGACATATGCTTACACACCGTGGACTCACGGTCAAGAAAGCAGATTTCGGGCACTGCAGGCCTTGGCCCATTAGGGCTGTTACGCTACTGAGTTTAGTTTAGTTTCCATCTGAAAGTTTTCAATCGCTACAAGAATAATTTAATAATTTATCAGCAATTAATTTACTTCTATTACTATGGAAATTGCCTGAGGCCATTTACAAAATGGGTAAAAATGCAAAATAAAACACAACTTCTTGTAAAGCCACAGAGCATTGTGTTTCACTGCTATTTATAATGTAACTAAGATTACATTCTCCTGCTTTTAGCTTTGTTCTTTTCAAAACTGTAATCATAGTCACCCAAGTGACGTTTTCTTACAGATTAGTTTGCATTCATTCTGTTAGACAGTCTTTCTGCTATGGATTTCATTTGAAACAAACTCATTCATATTGAGATTGCATTAAAGAGATTAACGGTTTTTAAATGTTTTTTTTTCCAAATTATCAAGAATACCCAGAAATATGTAATACCCAGAATTTCCATACCCATATAAATAAATAAGACAGGATGAAATTACTGTCATAAAATTTCTTAAATAATTACTTAATAAGTATTTATATATTTAAGAAATAATTACTATATAGTTATCAATAATTAAAAAAACAACATTGTTAAAAAGGAAGTAATGAAAAATTAAATAATTTCCTTCAAAAGATTTCTAAATCTAAATTTAGAGATCTTGATGATAATAATGCACTACTTTGAATTTAATGTCCATTTGAATACATTGCACCTTAAACTAAATTCATTTTTCAAGAAGAATGAAAGAAAGACACATTCAGAAACCAAAATTTTACCCTAAACTAAAGAGATATGCAATAATTGTTAACACTGAATATCTCTTATTATTTTCTAAATATTTGAAATAAATACAAAACATTATAAACAAATTATTGTTTAAATAAAACAACTACCCAGAAAATAATTACTGTTGAAATTTCTGTTAGCTTTTCCCCAACATCCTAAGAAAACCACGAACCTAAATAAATTTGGAATCTTTGTCCTAATATTTCAGAGTAAGATTAGGCTGCTCATTCCTCAAAAGCATTCCACAGCTTCCTCCCTTAGAAAAGATCCTTCATAGGAGGTTTCAAGAAAAACTAATCTATATTCAGGGACATGGTACTTCCTATTTTATAATAAGAAACTATTTATTATTACTGCAGGTAAATTCTGTTGTAATTTATAAAAAGATGACCACTAAATAATAGCAACCTCGGCATGAAAGCAAATTAATATATTCTTTTTCCACTCTGACTTGTTCTGAAAATCCTTAAAAAGGAATTTTTAATATTTTCAGAACAAGTCAGAGTGGAAACTGACACCCACTATACGTGAAAACTGAGGCAGAACATGTATCACGGCTAATTTATGTAACCATATCTCAAAAACTTCTTGTCACAAGCATCAGCTTTCACGATGACATGAGATTCTTCATGAAAACAACCTAAAGCATTGGAATTGTGTCTGTAGCACAAAAACCAGAAAAAATAATGGTCTAACAAGGGAAAACAAACAAACCAGTCCTCAAAATAGAATATCAATACAATTCTGTTCACTAGTAGAGTACTATAGCTGAAGCTAAATGTGACCAACATTTAGGCAAGCTGCACATATTCCTGTTTTTTGATTTGTTACAATGGCAAAGAAGAATGAGACTTCTGCAGAAGCAATACATTAAATTTAGAAAGCTATATTACATAAATGATAACAATGTTCTGGAAATATTACAAAAATTTCATCAGATCCATAATTTACTCAAGGATTCATATTAAAGGCCAACTTAAGTTCAATACAAACATTTTCTTTACTTTTACATTTGTCTTTTATTTCACATAATGTCTATCTTCTATTATTTCTACTGCACTCTCATCTCACTGTTTGAAAACTGATACTTCTGCAATTTTT